CAGGCACGAGCGGGCGTGCCACCCTTCGAATTATCACGCGGAATTGAAATCTAGAACGCGGTAGAGGGGCGGTTCGTAGGGTGCGGAGGAATGTGGAAGAGCAAGGGCGAGATAAAACACTCAAAATTTCTGTAACAGTAACAATGATTAACAAATATATTTGCGTATGCTGGAATTCACAGGTGATTCGTTCGGCCGCGACTAACGCCGCGGCAGCCGTCGGCGGTATCGCCGAGGTCGCGATTCGCGCGTCCGGGAACGCTCCCGGAGATGACGGATGTACGAGCTTCGTTCGTTCTCGACGTTGAATCCGCGAGAATATCTTGTCGCTGTACGCGAGTACGCCTCGCACGGCGTACGACGGATCACACACCACGTGGCGTCTCGATAATTCTAAGTACTGCCGACATTCGGCACGCTAGCACGCAAAAATTCGGACACTCAATAACGCGCAAGAAACACAAAATAACACATAAGTAACGCACAAGTTACCCGGCTGTGGCAAGGCGAGCGCAAAATACTCTACTCAATTCGCGTAACTCTATGCCGGGCGGATGGCACACATTGACTCTACACACGAACACACGATTACGCGGACAACGAAACTGAAATAGCGCGATCCGCCCGACAATGAAACCGGCGGCTGACAATTGTAATCGCTAACGTTCGTCTCACCAAGAGCGGCAGCTACGGAGGATGTTCTCCCTCAAAGTTTCTCGCACTCGGCAACTACGCGGGATCCTGCGTCCTGTCCCACGCGCGACCACAGCACAAGTGTCGCTCGACGGTCCTTCCGGCAGCACGCAGGCAGCAAGGTGTCACGCGATCGGCTGATAGTGCGCCGATTGGCCCTTGCCCTGCGAGCGCGACACCCGCGAATCGCGGTGTCGCACGTGATCAGCTGACTCGCAGCCGGTAGCGCGGACTTTAAATTAGGCTCGTGTCTCTCATCGAGCCCTGGCGTCGACCCTGCTCGCTCGTCTCGCTTCCGTACCATTCGCCGTCGGCAACCCGATCCTGGCCAGATCGTGAGCGTCCATTGCCTCCGTATTTACTCTCGGATTGCTGAAATTATTCGGCGACAGTAACAAGCTCGTAATAGGGAACATGGAGCTAGCGTTCGTAGGAACTACATTGTCTGACCTGCGTGTTCCGTTTCTCCCGCGGTGAGCCAGACGTTCCGAGGCCGATGTCTCTCTCCCTTTCGCTGCTTGGTGTAGACGATTTCCTTAGGTCGCCGATCTATTCCTACAGTTACGCTCACGAGGAGAGAAAAAGTTATATAACGCGCGCGGCAATAGAATCGAAAACGCAATACGCTCGCCTCCCTAATTCGGGGAGAACGCAGGATCCGAAACCGCGCTTCTTCGGTTGGGTATTGCGACCCTTGTGACGGACGATCAAAAAAAACGTCACGTCACAGTATATAAAATTTATGATCATATATTAACAAACTTGAATATATTAATTAATCAAATTCAGAATGATTATCGTAACTGAAAAGATTTACTTTTTAACAATTACCTTAATGATACGAAGACTCAGCGTGTTCGGAAGAAGTAGTATGATATTGTAATTAAGTGGCAGGCTTCGGTAGAGCAGAGCGTTGTTCGAGAATGATTTAGAAATGAACTGGTAACGACTTGGTACGACTTAAGATTCTCGAGACGACGTCTGGACTGCACGTGTAACTCTTTCAACTGCTTTAGAACGACTGCTTAAAACGTCTATACTCGACGAAGGATCTTTTTCAACTGCGCGGCCCGCTCGGTCGCCTACCTGCATTTCGGCTCGGCGCGCGGCCGCTGTCGCGAGACAATAGAATATCTTCTGCGCATGTCAATTAAGCGTTACGCTGTGAGATTACTCGCTTTCATGTACGAGAATATAATTTAACAAAGGAATTTTATAATTATAATATAGAAAAATCATTTTTATAATCATGAGGAATATGTCATTCAAGTATACTTGGAATTTACGAATTATTCAAGAGAATGGTAGTATTAATATATTTTCCGTACGCTTAATTGATTTTTGTTAATAATTGCAATCTCATACTAGTATTCCTTTCTTCCTCTTATTCATAATTACTAAATACTATAATTCGCATTATC